TGGTTTTTAATGGCAATCATTTAGGGCAGAAGTTGATACAAGTTTAGGCGATTTCAGAGGGGGAAATGTTGGTCATTGCATAGGTTTTGAAGTTCAATGATTGGTTTTTAATGAATGCTTAGATGTTTAAATAATAATTTAAGAAATAAATAATAATAAATGTGAAAAATGTATTCCCTTCCTTCGTCAAACCTCAAATTGCCATTAACCACGCCTTAAATTTTAAGAAAAACCCTTAAAGTTCAAGGACTTTCACATTCCCTACAAAAAAAAAGAAGAAAACCCCCATTGCAACTTCAATAATTTCCTATAATTATTTCATACATTTCCAAGAATAACTGGACGGGCCAAATTGAATCAATTACTCATTGATTCTTGGCCAACGGTTGCATGCCAAGCCAACGGAATGGCCAAAATCATTACCACAAACAATCCTAATTACGAAAGAGCTACTAAAATTTGCAGCAATTACGACATTTCCTGTCCTCCAACTGGAACACCTGCAAAAATACAAAAGAAAAAGAGAAGGAAAATTCCATATAATAATCGAAGACGAGGCTAAAAAAAAAAAAAAAAAGGTGGCCAGCCAATAAGTTGCAGTCATAACTATAAGGCAATCAAAAGGAAATACTTTTTGAGAGATTCTTGGTAAGCAGTTTAAATAATTTCCATTAGCCTTGTTCGTGTATGAGTCCGAAGTATATATATAATGTGCCATATATCATCATTATCAGGGCTTAGCACATTCCCCCCGCCTGTTGGCTGCCTGGCTGATGACTTTGCACATGTGAGGCGGCCAGAAACACGAGATCCCGATCCCTCCACTCACGGATTAGTTACAAACCTAACCAAAAACCAAACTGAAATGAACTGAACCCATCTGAACTGAGACCAAACGAATCAACCTGAATATGTCGACAACTTTGTAGGGAAAACAGAGGGAGAAATCGGGGGGAAATTCGTTATAATGAGAGAAGATAATCTTGAACTTGCAGAATCCTTCAAAATATTACAACATTCCTCATTCTTTTGGCTTCTTCCAAGCTTAAAAACATTTTTCAAATCAACTTCTAATCCCCTCCTATAAATCTCAACTATTTCTTTAAGTGCACTGAAGTGGTTTTTAGTGGACAACCGCACTGAGCTGCCATTTTACACGCAGGCCCAGCCGCTAATGACCAAAATGCGAGGAGCGAAAAATGAAAAACGAAAAACTGAAAACAGAAAACCAAACCAAAACTGAAACTCGAAAAATCCCACGAAAAGGGCCCCAGCCAAAAGGTGGCAATTAAAATCGAATGAGCGCCGAAGCTTCCATGTTGAGCACTAATGGGTGTCGGCCAACTGGATTGGACGTGGTCTTTGCCTTGGTTTTGGTCTTGGTCTTGGTCTTGGTTATAAGCCAAGTGGTCGGTTGGCAGCTGGCGATGGGCTGTGGAAAATGTGTAGAATTGTTTTAATGGCCGACAATATGGCCGACAAGAGAAGAGTGTGTAGAAAGAGAGGGCCAGAGAGACTAATGCAGCTTCGTCAGAAATCGAGCATAAAATATTTTTAATTAAAAACTATTTTTTTTTTTTTTTTTGCCTTTCCCTTCTAGCCTTGCCATTTCCTTTTCCCCTACGCATAAATCAAGTGGCCATCAAGTCAGCGGCTGCAATTTCTCTAGAATTACGAAGACAATTACACATGAAACGCGAGGAGCCGCCAACGCTCGTTTCTCGGATTGAAGATCCCAGATTGGAGATCTGACACCGAGCGGAGCGCATCATGATTTGTGAGTCGGCTTAAATAGTGCGAACGGAAATCATGATTAGCCGGGCCATTAAAGCCAGCAGCAGCGTTTCCCCTTGATCATTTTTTCGGGGGTTTAACAGGCGGGAGAGAAAAACTGTAGGAATTGTAATTCTCAAAAGAAAATATTTCCCAAGCTAATAATGGCGTTGTTAAGATTGTTAGTTTAAAGTTAGAACTATAAATAGTCTTATATTAACTCCTTAAACTAAAAATCACCTTAAACTTAACATTTTTGTGAAAGTTTCTTAAAAAACATCACTTTAAGTTTCACAATCATTCACCCTAACTAAATCTCCGATCAAGATCCCTGGACCTTCCTGATCTCTGATCTTAATTTCTTTCCCTTGTGCAAGCTTTAAGACGACCTGACCCCCTTGGCCATCTGCCGTGGCTATGGCTCCTTTTCGGGCCGCAAAGAGCAAAAAACAACGCCTCCGGGGCTCGGGCCCTGCCTGATGTTTTCATTTCCCGATAAAGGAGGTCCGTAAATGGCACGGACCTTACTCAACTTAAGCCCAGCCGAGCGCACGCCAACATGGAGATGGAAAGAGAGATGGAAACGCAGATGGAGTTGCACTCGCCCAGCACGTTGCAGTTGTAGCAAATTAAAAAAATGCAAATGTTGCACGTTGTACAGCCAGACAAACCAGCAACAGCAACAGTACTAGCAACTGCACACCAGCAACAGCAACATCCACAGCACGGCAGCAACATCAGCTGCAACAGCAACTGCTTGCCAACTTTATAGACTGACTCCTGCCTGGAAGCCCGCAATCGTGTTCATGTGTCACCAATATGATGTTGTCCAAGTCCAACTCCAACTCTAAGTCCAAGTTTAAGACCAAGCTTCAAGACCAAGTCCAAGAAAAATACGAAGACGATCGGTACGTAGCGATAATAGAGTGAGGAGGAGCAAAAGTTGCAGGAATGGTGGATGGAAGAGGAGTTTGGAGGATGCGGTATAGGGGGACAAGCAACTGCCATGTCAGGCTGACCGGCACAGATGGCATCATCAGCAGCAGCAGCAGCAGCATCGTCAGTAGCCATCGATCCCTGGCCTTTACTTTGCCCCTCCCTTTACAAGTATGTGTATATATATATATATATATAGGAGATATTTCTGCATGATCTGACAATTGTTAAAGAAATTATAAGGCAAAGGGTTCAATTTTTATATATATATTTTGTTTTTCTATATCTTTACTAGTTCAAAATATAACTTTTGGTTTTGCAGCAAAAAAATCTCTAAAATGTTTAATAATAAGTTCTTTAGGAAATATATTAATGATAAATTAACTGTATTTTTATATATCCCATTAATTCCCTTAAAATTGATGATCATATCTAAATTAAATTAGTCACTCTTGCTGCATTTCCCCATTTTCATAGATAGCTTTATTGCCTTTTCCAACCCAAAAACCATTTTGGAAACCAATGCCCCCATTGAGCTGTCATTAATTTCCCAGCACAGCATAAATATGCATGCTGTACTTATTTTAGTATGCACAGAAGATATTATGGACTCAATGGACTGCATATTTTTTTTCTTTTTAGGTATAGCAATTTGTGTCTTAATTAATGTCCCAATCAAGAGGCCGCCAAAATCAGAAAATGAGACCCACGACCGCCAGCCGCCAGCTCCGAAATCTCCATTTTGGGCAACGAACCCAGCGAACGGCGACTACTTCCATATGTATTTATGCATATGTATATGGGATATATACCTATATATATATCGGGAATGGAGTGAGCGGAATGGGAGGATGCAGCGGTGGTAAACTCGTTTCGGTGCAGGTCACTAAATTAGTTGCCGTCTCCCCCTTAGCATGCCCCGTGCGCGACTGCAGTGCCACAAAAGACTTTTCAATGCAATTTTGTTTGGTTCGTTCTTAATTTCGATGGAGTCAATTTTATTGCCCTCAGCAATGGGCAGGAGGAGAGGGAGGAGGAAGGGTTCTGGCCAGGTAGCCCAGGCTACATAGTCGCCATTGCAATGGAGATGGGATTAAAGAAGGCTCCGGCACTAGGGGAAAACAGGGCTGAAAATTAGAGATAAAAATAATATTTAAAAAATGTTGAAAAATGCGAAAAAGCTTATCAATATTATGGATTTTTAAAAAATATTTTTTAAGACAATTTTTCTATGTTTTACCATTTCTATTTTCCCCAAAGTTTCATAACTTCCTCTCAGTGCAAACTTGCAGTCTGTCGTCTTCGTCTGGAGCCCAGTTAATTTGGTCATCTTCCATGATGTTTTGATAATGTGGCCGGAGCTGCGGACCCAATCTGCAGTCGTGGTCCTCCTCAGCCGCTGTCCCATTCCACTTTTGGGTTTCGTTTATTTTTTCTTGATTTTTTCAATATCCCTTCGCTGCTGGGTTGCGCACGAAATTCTTGTCGCTGCGAATAATTACATAAATCAGTGATTTTTAAAGCGTTTCGAGTTTCCAACTGTCAATATTCCCGAACAGAAGAAATCCAAAGAGGTTAAGCACATCTTTTGTCAAACATTTCCAGCGCTGATTGCCTGGGGGGATTAAAATCCAGCCAAGATATTAACACCTCAAATTAACGCGGTTCTCACAACAAAATGCTGATGTTTATGCTTCCGAAAGATTTCTTACTAAAAAGGGGACTTCGCACCTACGCCATAAACGAAAAGGGTTAACCAAAATGCTCGCCAATCTGTCAGCAATTTAAATTTAACAAAAAGTAATGATTTATGTTGTTGCCTGATTGATTTTTAAGCCATAAATTGGTTTAAGGGGAATGAATATAAAAAGGAAATGGATCGTAAAAGATGACCGACGGCCTTTGAGAGATCTCCGACAATCTGACAGTTGCGGTGAGTTTTTGATGCGCTTTCAAAATGCAGATTGTTCCGTTTTGCTGGCCGTTTAATTTGTATGATTATGGCCCTGTCACAGCCAACGAAGCATGGCCAAAACTGCAAAACGGTAAACCCAATGGCCAGGCTCAAAAGCTTGTGGTTAGGCATGGTTACAAGATGGGGATTGGCCAGATCGGATCGGCTCAGATCAGTCAGCTGTCGATGGAGCGTGTCAGGTAAGACAGCTTCGGGGATAGCCAAAAACTGTATGTAAGGAAAGGGATATAATTTAAGTTATTATCGTTTTAACCCAATAAAAATGCAATAATTCTTTATAAGAATTTCCACATCTTTCCCATTAAAAAACATTACGTTTATGTTTTATATGATTTACTTATATTTTCCTTGTGCACAAATGTCGAAAATGCCCCACCAAAATGTATTATTTTTGTTTTTTATTTATTTATTTTTTTTGTAATTTTTTCAGTATTGTTTTTGTTGTTGTTTTTTAGCATATGTGGTTTTAGCTGGCGGCTATCCCCTCACAATCATAATATGGATGCTTGGTTATCGAGTATATCCATCGTTTAATATTTTGTTAATGAGTAAGTTACGTTCACATATGCGTAGGTTGGGTACATATAATTTTTAAAATATATATATATATATATATATATTATATATATATTTCTATATGTGTATATATATCTGTTGTATCACCACGAACACACACATAATAAATACAAATCAAGATTCCATTATGTATGCAGAGTTATTGTTAATGGCAGGGAGCTTACCAGAATTGTCCCCCCATTTTTTGCGATTATTGCAATTAGTGAAGTGACACTGTACTGTATGAATGCCAATAACATGCTCTCGTACCAGATGTAGGTAATGCTGGGGAAGGGGGGTGTTATTGAACTTGGATCTTATATGCCTTAATGGTTAGAATCTATATCTTATATACAATGTACATGCATTGGGTTCGATCTCAAAGGGGCTTTCTATTTACACACAAGCAACACACACTCTCTCTCTATCTATCTGTCTGTCTTCTATCTGGTAAACATGGATCGAAATTATATATATACTGTAATATTGAACTCTTTTAAAAACTATAATGGCTGTGCTAAAAAATACATGGTGGCTGGCTATCTGTTATTTGTTATCTGTTATCTGTGAGCTTGTAGGTAGGTAGTTCTCTGGTCTGGTGTTTATTTTCTTTCTTTTAATTATTATCGTCTGTCTTTCTTTTTGTTGCAAAAACTATTAACTTGGCCATCGCAATCGTAATACATCTCATTTCTATAATTCTGTTATCTGTTATCTGATTTCTGTTTCTGTTTCTGTTTTTCCGTTTCTGTTACAATTTCATTCAATTATTGTGCTGCACTGCAAATGAGTTTCGATTTATTCAAAAATGTAGTTCGTGTAAATATCATTGCTTTGCTAATTGTTATTCAGTGTATATATAGTAAATGTATATGTAACATTTTGTAATTATGTACTTTCCCTCCCACAAACAATTTCACCATATATATATATAGGCTGCTAATCTGTATTGCTTGCATCGGCTTGAATTTTAATTTGTTCGTTTGCGATTAACTTTCTATATACAGCTAAAACTTCAGATGCTTCGCTTGCCGCCAGATCCTAATACTGTCCTGGAGTTGCGCTTAGATCCCGCTAGGATATGTCCACCTTACTTCAACTTTACTATCTCACCTCCTTTTCGATTAGTTTTTTTTAATATAAATTTAGTTTTCAATTTGAATTTGATTTGATTTCGAGTTGTATTTGCGATTTGCCAAAAAGTTTACGTTTCAAAATACCAACTACAGTTGTGGAAAATTTACACAGAATAAATAATTTAATACATTTAATTTTTTAATTTGCTTTCCATTCCATTTACATTTACAAATCATCCTCGCACCTCCTCCTCCTTGCCTTTTGAGTATATAATTGTTCGGATCTTTGCCTGGGCAAAATCGTTAGCTCTATAGTTAATATAATATACGTTTTAAATACAGATGTCGGAGTTGTTATAAGTACAAAATACACTTTAAAACTTAAATGAGCGCTCTTCTCGTTGGTGCTTAAAAAATAATATTCTCATAAATTTAGTTTTAGAATTAAAAGTGTTTAGAAAACAAAGCGACGCAGCTGCTTTGTGCACAAAATACTGTTTCAAATCGATGGATCGATCGATCGGATCGGAAATTGGTAGACAGTTTTTTTGTACGTCTTCATTTTTGTCATTTGTCATTTGTCAGCGTTCATCATGTCCGGGCGCCTACTGTACGATGGCTTCTTATGCGATACGATCTCTAACTGCTAGTTTATGTCGGCTAATAGTTATTGTTTATACTGTTTCTGCTGCCTGTTGCTGCTTTTGCCGCCCTTGAATGCTTAAAAACTAAATACAATTTCTCACTTGCATGCTGGTTGTTCGCCTTGGCTGGTGATCTAATTTAATCAAAGCTACCTCTTTCAAAGGTCTTCGCCGACGTAGGACGTTGAATACTCTCGCGTGTTGGTTTATATATCTACTATATATAAATATATATTAATGTGTGCATGCTGCTTTTAGACTATAACTAACCATCTCATCTATCTCCCTATTTATGTACAATTTCTCTGCTTAATCTATTCTAATCTCTTGACCAAAATTGTGCTGCTTCAGTTAATGCTGTTGTCGTCTCCACGGCTCCCTCCTCCTCATGCGATGTGGCTATCAGGGTGACCATTTCAATGGGATGTGTGGCTGTGCCGGCCATGTTATTGGTGGTGCCAGTGGTCATAGTACTGTTGGTGGTAGCCATCTGAATCTGTGGCATGCCGGTGGTGCAGGATCAAGAATGCTTGTCAGTAAGTTCGCCCCAACGTGATTCGAAGAACTTGCGCATTCCGTGCCCCGCCTTGCCAACGGGTGAATCGTCTTCGTTGAACATCTCACAGTTGTCGAAGATCTGACGCACATCCACGCAGAAGTCTTCACGGGATTTGTAGCTATTTAAAGTAAATATTCATTTAGTTTAATAATGATTTAAGTTAAAGTTTAGTTTAGCTCTACTAACCTTAAATCCAGCAGTTTCTTCTTGATCGTGGACAAGTCCATGGGAGTTTTGATTATTTTTCGATATGTTGGAAACTGCTTGGTGTTTACTGGCAATAGAAATGGCCAGGAGTCCTCATGGAGCTGTTAAAATTAAGCATTATTAGATTGATGATTCTTATCAAAAGATTCATTTTCTATGCCCACCTCCATTTCCCCTAATAGGGTCTTGCAGACGGCCAGCTCCTTCATGAGCTTCTTGGTGGCATGCTTTTCCTTCTTCTCCTGCTTTAGCTTCTCCTTGGCCTCCTGTATGGCATGTATGTTGATAGGTGGTGGCGACATTTGGTTAGTTCCTGTTCCCGTTCCCACTCCAATAGCTGGTGGCGATGGCATGGTCATCAGCTGCTGATGTTGTTGGGGTGGCGACTGACAGGCGGTTACATGGAGGGCGGTGGCTGTGGGCGAGGCCTGCATGAGCAGCGGTGTCGGCGGCAGTGGTGGTGGCGGAGTGGGTGCTGGCGTCGGTGTCGGCGTTCGTGTGCGAGTGGGTGTAACAGCCCGTGGGGACATGGCGACCACGTTACCAAACTGCATCGCTGCTGTAGTAGGCACCGCTGCTGGGTTAATCAATCCGGCTGAGAAGTTACCAGCCCCAACTGGCGGATAAACTGGATAGGTGCTCGGAGGCATCACACTGCCACTGACTGGCACATCTTCTGGCAGAGCCGCTGCAGTACCATTATTTGGCGGGGGGATGAGATGCGCTTGGAAGCGACTGCTGCCGTCGATCGAGTTGTTGGCATGGTGTTGATCATCGTACGTCGTGGCTGAGGCCACCGAGTGCGCCGGACTGCAGAGAGCAGAGGCATTATAAACTGGAACCCGGACCATGTACTCCGCCGCCCCCTCAGCCGCCCGCAGGCCCCCACACTCACCTCAGAGGAGCCGCCGGCAGCGAATTCATCGACTCATCGTGCGAAGAGTTCAACGACGGCGGCTGCTGATGATGATGATGGTGGGGATCCCCGCCTGCCAATGGCATCTGCTGATGTTGCTGCTGCTGCATATGATCCATGGCCGGTGTCTTGCTGTTGTCGCTGCGTCGCTTGGCTGATCCGCCCGAATCTCTTTCCCTGTCCCTTCTTGACTTGCTGCTACTGCTCGCCGATCCACCGGCACTGCGTTTCTTGGGCGGTGGCGCACGGGAGATGCATCCATGACAGTACCACTTGCCACGCGGCACCTTCAGCAGCGGTGGTATATAACAATCGGCATGGTAGGCACGTGGACACAAGTCGCAGTAGATCATCTTCCCCACTGGCGATGGACGATGACCGCCACAAACGATGCACTTGCGTTCATTGGTGGCCTTGTTCACGCACTCGTAGCAGTACCTAAAATAAGAAGATATAGAAGAATAGGGGTTAGTTTATTGAAGATTCTAACTAGGGGCGGGGTTTAGTTCTATTTTAAGGGACAGAGAGTAACAGTGCCACAGTTTCTCAACGGTTAACGATCAACGCTTAACAAGACAACGCGGATTAATGTGTTCTTTTCTTTTGAGATCTTTTGTAATCTATGACAGTGACATGTGAGGTAATGAGGATGTTTTTTTATTTAGAGATTAGAGTAGGACTTGGTACAGCATGTACTCACCAATCGCCATCGGGAATGTTGTCCATCTTGGGTTTGAAGCAGTAGGTGTGATAGCCCTTGTCGCAGCCGTCGCATAGTAGCAACTTGTCCTCGTTTTCGCCGGACGTGCAGAACTGGCAATTCTGTAAGGAATTTGAATATTTGCTAGAGTTTGTATTGTTGGCCGAGCGTCTGCGTTTGCCGCCGCTCTTCTTCTTAGTCCGTTTGCCAAAGTCCGAGTCGGAGTCGCTAGTGTTTGGATTTGAGGATGGAGATGGGGATGTGGATAGGGATTTGGTTGGGAAAAGGGTTTTAGTTTGGCCTTGATGCAGCGAATCGTGTCCATTTTGAGCCAATGCTTTTAGGTTGATTTTAATACTCAATGGAGCTTTCTTCTCAGGCTTTTTGCTAGGTGATTCGTTCTTTTGCCCATTGGTGGTCAACTGTTGCTCCTTTTTCTTCTTCTTTTGCTGCTGTTTTTTCGATGGTGTTGCCTGCTTTTTGGCGCTGCTCTTCTTTTTGCTGGACTTGTTTTTTGTTGCATACTTTTCGGATGGCAGTTCGAAACGGTTCGTTTTAAAGGGTGGGGAAAACAGTCATGGTGGGTTGTTTTTTTGTTGTTTAAGAGGTTTAACGGTTATCGGTAAACGGTAACGGTAACGGGCAACAAAAGCATTCATGTGTATGTGTATGTAAGTGAGTTGTGGATTATGTATGTATGGATGTGTGTGTGTTTGTTTGTGTGAGTATGAAAGCGTTAAATTTGTTGTATATTTTTTTTAAGAACACCATGAAACACCACAAGCAACAAACAAGTCAAACATTCAGCAAGAGACAGTTAAGAAAGAAAAACAAAATCGAAAGGGGAAAGAAAAACAAAATTCGAATTAATTTCACAGGCATTTTCCATATTTTTTTTTTTTTTTTTTTTAGGGATGCAAAAGCATTTTCAAAACTACTTAGCTACAAATTCAAAATTAATAAATACAAATGAGATCACGGTTGCTTCTAAAAAGTGCAAAATTGTAGAGAATAGAAAGAAAACTGTCTAAGAAACAGAAACATAATAAATATTAGGTCAAGGTGAACAGTTTTAAAAACAAATTTTTAAATATTGAATATTTCAAATTCTCAAAAATGCATAAAACAAAAAAATATATGTATTCAAATTAAATACAACCGTGATCTCAACTATTTTCCCCAAATTTTTTCAACTTCTTCGTTTCAGTTGTGGTGAATACGGTTAGTGTGGTAAACTTCAGATGGTTATGCGAATGCAAATGCAAACTGTGTGTAAAAATAAGTGAGGGTGTATGTGAGTAGTGGGTGTTAGTGTGTGTGTGAGTTTGGTGCAGCCAAAACAACAATGAGATGAATGGACCACAAAAAAAGGCGGGTGCCAAGCAGGTTTTAGTTATTGTTTTTTCAAGGGGATTTCTTAAAGATTTCCAAAGCCCTCCTAGTCTTACCGCTTTCATAATGCTCTTGTCCCAGGCCACACAGGATTCCAGGACGTACAGGGCCATCGCAAGCTGGGCGGTGGTGTGGGATCGAGAGACTGCATCGCGCCACTGCACCAATCCCTTGGGTATATGCTCAATCTTCTCATCCCGATCACTGTCACAATTGCTAGCCGGTGAGGCATTTCCAGACGTGGGTTCCCCGCTGCCCGATTCACATGGTGTTACTCCTCCTCCTCCTGGTGCAGTGCCTCCCGTTGCATTGCCAGATGCAGCTGCCGCCAGAGCCATTGTGCGCTCATTGAAGGACGAGGGATTAACGCTGTTGCCAGTTCCTGATCCTTGTTGCTGCTGTTGTTGTTGTTGAGCCAATTGTTGTTGCTGCTGCTGTTGCATCTGCAGGAGATATGCTGCCGCCGAGGCGGAATTCTGCGTCTGGGTCGTGGTATGCTGGTTCTGAGCAATCACCGCCAAATGAGCATCGCCCGTCTGCGAACCCAATGGTGGCTTCAAATAGCGCCTTTCGATATTTGCCTCCAAATCGATAATCCTCTCCCGGATCATAGGGATAATGCTCACGAAATCCTCTTCGGTGACATCCTCCTGAGAGTCCAAGGTGAGTTCACTCTCTACGCGGTTGGGCAATTGCCAGTTCTTCAATTGCATAGAAGCACTGGCCACTTTGTCCTCCAGGGATTCCAGTTGTTCGATGAGGGCAAGCTCCACACGTTTCGCCACCTTAGGATTCCAATCGCCCTTCTTGTCTGGCATAAGGAATTCCTCCGGAAACTCTGCGTCCGATTTCAACTGATAATTCACACCCAATGGCTGTTCTAGTCCCAGGAAACGTTGCAAATTCTCCTGCAATTCCCGCTCCCTCAGACCGGAAGGATTCAGTGTTTTGAGCAGTTGGCGCAACTTCTGTTCATCGTCCAATTGCCACCAACCGTAGCGCTGCCTGCGAGGAACATAGACTCCATGAACTCGTTCCGGAAAACCAGAGAGCTTGACCTGCTCGAGCAGACGATGTTCATCGGGAGTCATGGAAAGTGGTAGCGGTATATCGATGGGTATATAAGTTTGCACGCTACTCAGCGACATATTGGCAATGTTGTGGTAATATGCCTGCGACAGAGCCTCATCTAAGCGCAGCTCAATCTTGGGTTTCACATCGGTTCCCTCGTTTGTCCCTCCTCCCGTATCCGGGGGCACATCAGAGCGCAAGCGAAAAAACTTGTCCTTGCCAGCCAGTTCATCAACATCCGTTTCCATTTCGGTGTCGTTCTCCTTGTCCAACTTCAGCTTGGCCTGCTCCTCATCATCTTCAGTCTCGTGGTGGCGATGAGGAGAGCCCAGACCGTTTTTTGACTCCACCTTGTGGGCTTTGAACTCCTCCACCTTGGCTACCATTTGTTTTTCATCGAGGCCACTCAGCGAGAAGATGCACTCGTGGCCCAGCTTACTGGTGTCCACCTTGCATTCGTCCATGGGAATCGAGTAGTATTGCATGTTATTAATCAGATCCCAAGGATGACCCTGCAGTTGCAGTTGAGCGGAGCAATTCTGGTTTGCAAAGGTGTTCTGCAGTTCCTGGCCAACCACACCGCCCTCCTCCGCTGGCAGTTCACTGATTAAGGGTACTTCCCGGCGGACAATGGAGAACCACTTGGGTGTATCGTCAATACTGGTGGTGGAAACTATAATGCAGTCATCCTCCTTCTTCATATCCTCCATCTTGATCACAGCCTGGCCAAAGTTCGGCTGCTGCTGCTGTTGTCCCAATCCCAAGCCAGTTTCCAACTTATCACAGTTGTCGCTTCCATTGTTGTTGTTATTGTTATTGCTGTTGTTGTTATTGTTCAGAGTAGGAGGCATCAGGATGCCTGGCATTGAGGGTATCTTGATTTCCGCCTCAAAGTCGGTCTTGGTTGATATCATCGTAGTGGGCGGCGGGCCCATTAACTCCATCTCCGACTTAACTTTAATCTCTGGCCTAGGAGGTTCTATCTTGGGCGGTGGTGGATCTGCATCATCGTCATCATCGCCAAGATCAACAATTTCCGGTTCTACCTTGTTGATTTCTGTCACATCATCATCGTCATCTTCCTCGTCTTGATGAGCATTCTGTTCACTAGTTTCCGGCTCCACATTCTGAGCTGGAACTCCGTCCTCTAGCTGTGTGACTGATTCATCCACCTCCATTGGCTGTTCGGTGGACTCCCCTTCAGCAGTTTTCTCATTCTCCATGTTTTCTTTCTCATCAGCTGGTTCCTTCTTGTCATCCATGCCCTCCAATGCCTCATTGTAACCGCAGATATCATTCTGGGCAGATTCAAGAGCTTCGATGAAGATGCCACCCGCCTTGGGTAACTTCCAATAGCGACGCCAGAAACGATCCTGTCCAAAGCATGCCGCTCTAAGCTGATTGGTGCTCTTCTCCAGTGCCTCTTTGCAGTTGAGAGAAGCTCTCACAATCTTGTCCAGCTTCTTCTGCAACTCATCGGCACTCAAGCGATTGTCTTCATCCTCTTCGACATTCGTGATCTCCGAATCCAAGTCGGAGAGATCATCGTCGATAATGCTAACATCATGGTGGTGCTCATCGTTAATGGAGTTACGTGCTCCGCTCTTCTTGGCCTGCAGCAGGGCATTCATGTCGCCACCAGTTGCAGCACTAGTCGTGGGCGTGCTGGTTCCATTAACTTGATAGGTGGGCGTGGTAATGTCTTGTTTGTTGGGCGTCAGACTGTTGTCCGTTTGGATGATGCTCTTGGCCGGGCTAACAAGGGATTCCTCTTCGACCACACCATCAACATCCATGGGTTGCTGCTGCTGTTGGGTGGGTTCCTTGGTAGTCACCTGCTGCTCATCCTTATCGTTCTCTTCGGGCTTCTCGCCATTGGTTGCCTCTCCATCTGTGCCTGCTGCCGCTGCTGCTTCCTCTGCTGCCGCGGCCTTGGCTTCCTCCTCCGCTTTGAGACGTTCTGCATCCAGCTTCTGCTGCGCCATCAACGCCTGCATCGCAGCCTCGCGCTCTGCTTGTGCTCGTTCATAGGCCTCAATTCGTGCCTTGCGCATATGAAGTGCCTTGTACTTGCGCACCTTCATGTCCGTCATGTACTTCTCTTTACGCATCTGGGCGCAGGTCTCGAGACTGCCATCAATCTGACGGAGCACCGCCTTGTTCATCAGCAGATCATTGCAAAGGTGGGCCAACATTTGAGCCTTACGGGTGGGATTCAATGCCACGAAGGGACGATCCTTTAGCGATTGTGATAACTTCCAGGTGTCGTTCTCGTGGAGGAGCTTATAGTACTCCTGGTTCTTGACCGAGTGTGAATGAGTGGCGGAATCGGTATCTACTTGATGATGATCGGGCACTCGTCTCTCCCGCTCGCGATCCACAGTGATGCCATGCATTTGACGCACTTCACCTGTGGCGGTGGCATACAGATAGATCCTCAAGATCTCCGAAACATTCGAGTTGGTGATATCCGCGTTACGAAGTGATTGTCCCAGCAAAGTGGTGTGTCTACCGGGATTGGGAACACCTGGATCCTCAATGGCACAAACCAATAGATGCGTCATTACCGACAGCAACTCCTCTTCAGCATCAGCACTGCTATCGCTGATTAAAGCGTCATGCAGATTCTGCAGTGAGGGCAGTGATTCCATATCAAAGCCTAGAGTCTCTCCGAAATTGTGCAGGAATTCAAAGACCATCAGCAGATCAGCCATTGCCTGGCCGGGTAGACGGTTGCCCGCAATCCTATCCAGCTCTGGGATCACCAACTCCTGTGGCAGTTCAGAGTCCTCGTTGGGCCGCCTTATTAACTGCAGTATCTCTGCATCTCGTTTTCGCTCTGCCATGCGACGCTCACGGAGAAGTAGACGATCCAGCACCAACTGGTGCTTCTTCTTTTCACGATCCTCGAATTTACGACGCAGCTCTAACATCCTTATCAGGCTCATGTGCTGACGACGACGCTCTCGTTCCTTTTTAAAAAAAAAATTATGTTGTTACATTTATTTTGTTTAATTTCTGTGGATTTTACTTAAAGAAACTTACCATTTCGGCAGCCAACAGCATTTCTTTTTGCTTTTGTAGTTCCTAAGATAGGTAGATAAAACGAATAGGTTAGTGTTTATAAACTTAAAAGTTTAAGCTGATATTGAGATGGCAATGATGGGCATTAATGACTCTCAAAAAATTATAGATAAAGAAGCATTGGGATAACAAAGATCGGACCAAATTTAGAACGAAATGAAAACCAAGAAACCAAACTAAAGAATTAAGCCGAATTTATAAACAAAACTCAATTTAGACAAAGAATTTAGAATATATCAACCCAAAATTTATAATCTTATATCAGCATATTAAGTTAAAATAAGTTAAATAGGCACCAAGGGACTTTTTAATAATAAAGAAAGCTTTTGCCAAATCACAAATGTTACTAAGGACAATTTGGAAAACAGAATTGAAAATCTTATTCCGAAAGGATAAGGCTTTAAGGACAAGGCAGAAGGTAAGGCATTTTATACCTGTTCCTTAGCTAAAATGGCCTCCTGACGACGCTTTTCTTTCTCCTATTGCAAAACAAAACAAACCAATTATGCTTTGATGATGGAAAGGCAGAGATTAACTAAACTGACCTGTTGCTTCTTAAGCAATTCCTCCTGCTTAAGGCGATCTAACTCCTCCTGACGCTTCTTGCGCTCCTAAAAATATGTTTTCGCATATAAGAAGATTTTCTTCACAACTCTTATAATTTAAAAAGTTACCTCAATGGCCTGCTGATTCTTGAGCTCCTTGTCTTTACGTTGCTGCTCCAACTTGGAGTTCTTCTCTTGGCGTGCCTTCTCCTTATTTCTAGCCAACTCCTCCTTTTGCAACTTCTTGGCATCTCGCATAGCCTGCTGTTGCTTAGCGATCTCAATGCGCTGTTCCACATTGAGTGTCTGGCGAGTGAAGACTTTTAGGTCTTCTAGACGCTTGGCCACATCCTCGTCCGTCATCCGTATGTACTCGCCATCGTTGGCATATGGTGGTGGTGCGGGTTGCAGGAATGAACCAACAATGGCTCGTGCGGAGAAACTAAAGTTCTCACGACTCAGATTCGATGGCTGCTGCTCCAGGATCTGTGGAGAGTTCAAGAAGTTAGTTGGATTCGTAAAGAGTGAATGAATCGTGTGCACTGTTGCCAATTTATAAATTTCTTTAAATAAAGAAAAATATTTAACAAATTATCTTAAATACTCCAATTGTTTATATTTTTTGGTGATTTTATATCTCATCAAGTTGTGTTTCAGGAGTAGATTTAAAATATTCAAAAAAGTCGCCCTACAAACTCACAGCAAAAACCTGTCCGTTGCTCTTCAGTGGTGTCGTGCTGCCTGGTGCATAATATGTGACCTCGCCACGGATCTGTCCTTGCTTGGTCAGTCCACGGATCACGGTTTCTCGTTTCCAACCCAATTCCAGTGGTACTCTTAGCTCCGCCACATTCAAAATATTTGCATCCTCACTTTCCGACTCGGAAAGTCCACTTTCAGCCGCTACGCTCTCAGAATCCGTAGAGGTCTCCATATGGGCATTGGCCTCGCTCAGTGCCAGACGGATTTTCTCCTGGAGTAGAGAAAAATATAGATTTATAAAGTATTCAACATTATTATTAAAATAACTTACAATATCAGCACCCTGTTGGAGAAGTTGCTGTGTGGCCAACATGGGTTTTAGGCCCACAGCTCGAGATTGAGCCAACAATGACGCCACCGTGTTCTTCTTCGGTTTGGACACACCACGTCCTAGGTTACGGGGTCTGCCCTCTTTGTAGGACGACGATCCTCCACCGGAACCAGAACCCGATCCACCAGAGGCTCCCGTGCCGGCACCTGCCGGAGCTGGGGATGTTCCTCCGCTGCCCGAAATGGAACCACCAGGCATGCCTCCAGTTCCTCCCAAAGCAGCTGTAATAGAGCTTAAGCTCTGCAGACTATTCCCGCTCTGGCCAGTGGCAACCGCCTGATAGTCTCCAGCTAAACCGCCCAACGCTGCACTGGAAGAGGAGGATGCCCCTCCAACGGGAGTTGTCGAGCTACTGTTGCTCTTATCCGAGGGTTTCATGGAAAGATTAAGTGGCGCATCAAAGTCATCGATGGTGATGGGATTGGAGGCTGAGCCCACGGCTCCGCTGGGTGTCAAGGCATTGGCGTTGGCATTAGACTTTAGGCTGAGATTCACACCTCCGGATGTGGGTGCCAGATCGGTGGTTAGGTCATGCACCTCTTTTCCCTTACTTGAGAGATTATATGCCCCATTGGAAGTGATTGTTGGTGGCAGTTTGATTACCTCCACGCGATCACTGGAGCTCTGGTTAAGCAGGTTGCTCCCTGCTGAGGAGGAACTGGTACTGGTTGTGGCTGCCGTCGAAGAACTGGCCTTGCTCACACTTAACTGATCAAGAGGATTACCACTCATACCGGGCAGACCGACCAATCCAGCCATTCCCGGAATCCCTGCTGCTCCCAGCATCCCGTGGAGTTGCTGTTGTGCTTGGTGTTGCTGCTGGGCCTGTTGATGTTGCTGTTGGGCAGCCGCAGCCATTGCCGCGTACTCCATTTCGAGTCTAGCCCGCTTCGCGGGACTGAGACCTGGAAATGCAAGCAGAGAGGAAATGGCATTTGTGGTGCTATCGAGCTCTTTTTGTGCTTGTGCTTGTGCTTGTTGCTGTTGTTGGAGTAGGTGTTGTTCTGCTTGGTGTTGTTGTTTCTGTTGTTGTTGTGTGGTTTGCTGTTCTGTTTCGGAAATTGTCTTTTTGCGACCGCGCGAGGTAGTACCAGGTATCTTGGGTCCCACAATCGAGGACGTGTACTTGATTATCTCCGTGTCCGGTGGTAAACGAACTCCCAGCAGAGACGGATGCTCACTGCCAGTCCTATAAATAAATTAAATAGTTAGAAATCGTAAAATTAACTATAGTTTAATCTTCAATTACCCCATCATGTAATCCTTGGCGCTGGACTTGCTGCCCGATCCCGACGTGGAACTATTGCCGCCCATTTGCTGCTGCTGGGAGGAGTGATGTGGCGAAGAGGTGACCGTGGCGGAGGGCGATACTCCTGTGCTGGCCGCAAAAGCATTCATGGCCGCCTGCATACTCTGCTGCGGCGTCATTCCCAACGCTCCAAACTGCGACAACGAGTTGAGGGCATTTAATGAGGGATTGTTCTTGTCACGATCTTTGCCGGATGATGAAGACGAAGAGCCTAGTCCTGCATGTGGCGACATCAGTGGATTGCTGTTAGCAAGACTGGGATGCATTCCTCCTAGTGAAGAATTGCTAGCGCTCACGCTGGTCGAAGCTTTGCTACTGGACATCAACCCACCGCCGCTTCCCATTCCCAATCCATGGCCGTGCATCGAAGAGGATGATGAGCTGCCTCCACCGGACTTTTTGCCTGAAGAACTGCTTGATCCTGAACCGGAAGCAGCAGCTGCCACGGCCTGCATGGCCAGCAGCTCCTTGTGAAGGGTCACCGGATCGTAGGCAGAGCCCGGATTGCTTGCCATGCTGCTGCTCGTCATAGTCGAGGGTTTTCCATAGGCGCTAGCCGTGCTCTGAGGGTTTCATTAAAAGAATGTAGAAATTTAAATTGTATATTTCAATTGCAAATCTCACCTTGTAGCTCCCATGACCTCCACTATTGGTGGATATAGAACCACTGCCCGTGCTCACTGACGGAATGCTGGTACCCGGAACTCCTACTCCGAATCCATGCATACTGGCAAGCGCTGCGGCTGGATTATTAGCCGCTGCTGCTGCTGCCGCCGCAGCTGCCGCATTTAGACTATTAGCCAGGCTCTGCTGTTGTTGTTGTTGCTGCTGGGCAGCACGCTTCTCTTTCCGCGACTTGTTCGATTTGCTGCCCGAGGAACTGGATGATGATCCACCGCCTCCATTACCACTTCCACCGTTTCCACCACCTCCACCTTGGCCAAGTACACCTGCTCCTCCGCCTCCAGCACCCGCACCTCCAGCGCCACCGCCCATCCCCATACCGGCTGGTCCAAAGGCAGCTGCTAGATCGGGATGTGGGAAGGGCGAGAGGCCCGATGCCTGCAGGCGACTGAAGTAATCCTGGGCTGCTAACTGAGCCATGGACCACCAGCCTGTAAGTCGATTAAAAAGTGAGTTAAATAGAGGAAAAAATAGGTAGAAAAACCTATTACAAGTTCTATAAACTTTTAAATTAAATTTTGAATTGGAGACAAACAAATTTGTTTAGTGTGACTACCTAGAAGATATTAATTACTTTATTATCAAAATTTCAGAAGTTTAAAGCGCTCTATAAATGCTTATAAGGCAATACGAATTTGGTAAAGCAATCAATCTAGTCAATATTTTAATTCAACGAATATACAAAATTACGCTAAAATATTTGTGCTTGTCCATTTTTCACTGACCAGCTCAGGGATAAGCCTTTTGGTCAGTGTAAAGCTAATAGCAAACTACTAAATGCAATGCTCTTGGAGTATTTTCTTCAAATGCTTTGTACGAGATAAGCAAGACATTTGCTGTTTTACTCCATATTACAGAAATTACTCTTTAGATAAAAAACTCTTTGCAGCAAACGGGAATCGAACTCTCGTGGTTTTCTTTTTTTATGGTGATTCATGGGGCGACTTCGCCGACGTTCGCTTTAACGCTCTGCGCCAGAGGCAGTCGCTAATTGCGTGCCGACCACAAATTTCGTCTTGGGTAGCGCAATACTAAAATACGGAGAAATGTGCCGACATTTTACTCACTTGCTGGATGCAAACCGGCCAAACTGGCGGCCTGGGAAGCGGCCACTGCCATCGTGTTCTGGTGATGATGGGCACCCGCCGCCGCAGCCGCTGCCGCAGCCATTGAATAACGGTCATTGGCAGAAGCGCCTCCGGCTTGTGGCAATAAACCCAATCCGGCAGCAGCGGCAGCATTGAACTGCGAGTTGAACAACGGATTGGAGGCCGCTGCAGCCGCCGCTCCAGTGGGATCACGTCCCCAGTAAGCTAAAAGTTATAGTATGTGAAGATCATAATTTAGCAATTTCAAAGAGTAAGTTAATTACCAAATAGGGAAGCTGCATCTAGGAGGCCGGTGGGATCATGCGGCCCCCCGGCTCCAGCACCCCCTCCCGCATTCGAGTTTTTGTTTGAGTTTTTGCCATCGCTGCCATCGCCGGCATTTTTGTTCATGTTCAAAATCCCCTAGTTCTTAGGACCAACTATTGTGCGTAACATGCGTTTAGAGTCTGAAAAAAGGAGAAAAATCTTAATTAATTGAAAGTTAATCAAAAATACTATAAACTTGTATAAATTAGCTTAAACTTTCTTTCTCTTTTCAAATATATTTATTATTATTATTTTCTAATATATCCGACGATAAAAAAAATATAGAAAAAGGACGATTTTTTTTTTATTCAACACCTTATTAAGCAAGATTAAAAACATCACAATTTCCCATATTAAGAAAAAAAAAATAGAAACAAAAAGTATCTGATCTATAATCAAAACACTTGCAATCCCTAAGATCCAATAATTCATCAATCGGGTTCGATTTTCAACTTCATTTGCTCTTCGCTGATACTCCACTCTCTGTGTTGGCAATGCCGCAACGCTTGGGCGAAACTCGAGCACAAAGCGAAATCGGCCGAAATATGAAAAGCAAAACAAAACTAAAAAAACTACACGCCACCGAGAGAGACAAACACACGCACAAAACGGAAGCAGAATTTGCTCTCTGTTCACCACTACACCTGCACTATATCGACAGAGCGGCAACGGCAACGGCGAATTTGACGCGCAGTCAAATCGACGGCGAATACAAAATTTACGCACAAGATTGCATTTTGTTAAACAATAAAACGAGAAAAAAATCTCCCTCGCGAAGAAAACTTGAACTTTACAAGTCATGCGCAACATTTACCATTGCCGCAAATAAAAGAAAAAAGAAGGAAAGAATAAAAAAAAAAGCCAAGACACCCACACACACGCAAAGGCAGACTGCAGGCGGCGACGAAGAAAACCGATGCATACACAAGACGAAATAAAAGAGAAAAATTCCGTTCACAACATTTTGCACTTTTTAAGTAGGGTTTTTTTGTTGTATCACTTTATCACAAATTCATTCATGAAATCTGTAAAATTCTCTCTTCTTTTTTTCGCTTTATAGAGATTTAACAGACAAACTGTCTGCTGTATTTGACTGCTAAATGGCTTTGTTTTTATTACTTGCGCTGCGACAGCAGTTAACGGCATTTGTTTACACTGGCTATTGCATTTTGTGCGATTAAAATGTACAATTAACAAAAATATTTACAAGCGCCGCTCGGCGACGCGTCCGTCTGTGTTTGTGATTTCGCGGCGAATGAGCGTGTGGAGAGTGCGGAGAGCAGAAGAACCGCAAGCGGCGACGACGGTGGACCGTGTGGAAACGAAACGCAAAAGGAAGAGCGAGGGCGGGAGAGTATGGAAAGAGAGGTAGAATGGGCCGCCTTTCAATTGTTGTTGCCACGCACCGTGGTTGATAATTGCACTTTTCTTTTTGTCATTACTTATTATTATTATTAGTTTTAGCTGTATTAATCACTTTAATGAGACAACGTTTAGTCCGCTAAGGTGAAGCTCACTGTGTCCCGCTAATAACTGTAATTGCGCACTTTTTTTCCTGCTTTCTTTCGGTTTTATTTTATATTTTTTGTGTTGTCACGCATCGGCAGGCGACAGATGTGCGCTCTTATCAGGGGAGGGGGGCCGGCAGTAAAAGAGAGAGAAAGAGAGAACGTTAGAGAGAAGGGGGAGTCTGCGAAAGAGCGTTGGCAATTTATAACAAGCAAGAAATAAAACAAACGGACAGAGTAACTGGGTACAGTGAAACTTGATTGAGTGTATAAGACAGAAAACTAGTTTTACACGATTACAAAAATTTAGTGAATTATTTTAATATTAAAACTGTTTAAGGTTAGACTATAACTAACTAAATAAATATGTTTTGTTTTTATTTTTCAAACATTATTTAACATAAAATCAGCAGAAGCAGTACTGTAGGATCTAAATATTTTTTTAATATCCATATTTATTGTATTTCATCTGTGACTTTCTTTAGTGTCACCTATTTAGTCACTTTATTTGCTTTTTTAAAGTTACTTAAAATTGGTTTTAGCGGAAGTAGCACTGTAAAACTTTGCCTTTTGTCTTCTTCTTCAACTTGGGCATTGCTTTTGGGTTCACCGCAAGTGGGAGGGTGAAAGGTGGAGAGAAGAGGGAGTAAGCAATATGATTCGGGCATTTGTCTTTGACACTGCCACACTTCGCTGTCGCTGTCGCTGCTTCTGCCGCTGCTAACGTCGCGGGGGCGACGGTGCAGTCGACGTCAACGCCGGCGATTGGGAAGGTGTGTGCGTTATTCTTATTCTTGTTGTTTCTATTTCTTTTTGCACAGTGTGTATTTGTGTGTGACTCGCCGCCTCTCACTCCCACTCTTCTCCTTCACAATCCTCCACCCTCTGCCACTCTTTTCACATCAATATTTGTGAGTGACAGCAGCGTACAAATGTGAAATTCTTCTCATATTGTGCTGGCGTCACTCCACCCCGTTGTCAGACCCCAACCCCTGCCACCCACCAACGCCCTCCTGAAATACCCATTGTTGTTTGCTCTTGATTATCTTCTCTCTCTAGCTCAATTGGCCGACTGTCTGTCCATCGCTCATGAGTTGCCTTTATTTCTTTTTCATTTGTTGTATTTTTTTCTAGCCGTTTTTGTTGGTTTTCTTGATGAGATTGTGTGTGTGTTTGACTTCGTGTTATATCTTATACCAACACACATGCAGATAGCGCCGCCGTTTCGTTTGATTTGCCATTAAAAAAAGTTTATAGCTGTTTTTTCTTTGGTCAATAAGCTTGAAAAAGCTAATCAATTGCTCGAAAAAACAAATAAAATTGAAGTTCCATAACTTATATTGATCTCAAAAGTCTATAGTTTAAAATTAAGTTTAAAAATTTAGAGATATTTAACTTTAAACTGTGACAGTTTTGGTTCTAAAAGACTTTAAAGATATTTCTTTAATTCAATCTAAATCTTAACGAATCTTTAAAACATTAATCTTTGTATTTTAAATTTTGTTATTCTGACAGCTACAAGTGTGGGTTAGGCAAATGGATCGATAATTAACTAAGATGAGTCAGGTTGTTTGACTAGAGATTTCCGATTAAAAATGCAGTAATTATTAGAACTGTGGGTCAAGATCTTTTCTGTAATAAATAGTATCTGATCCCGAAAAAGAGATAAAATGCATTTCTTTAATAGTTCCTTCTTCGTCTGAATTCTTCATTTTTTTTAGATTTGAGGTTTAAGGTTCGGTTTCTTCTAGCTTTCTGACTTCTGCGGATTCTTCTACTTCTGATTCCTCTTGTTTTTTGCCCTATTGTTGTTGCCCCTTCCACTGTGGGAATGTGTGCGAAAGAGAGAGAGAGAGGCATGGTTAGCAGTAGAATGAGACGGGGGAGAATGTGAGTGCTTCTGACTCTTCCTCGGTTTTTTTTGTTGTATTTCTTGTAGAGTGAGAGGTTATTGGACTCAAAAAGCAATACCCCCAACCACTTTTTTTCAGAGTCCAACACAAGCCTGCAGTCTGCGTCATCGTCTGGCGCGATCTTTAGTCTCGTTTCCCCCTTCCCACCAGCCCCTTTATTCCTCTGTCTTTTCAACGAGACTGCAGCAACGCCTTGAGATCGAGTGCAGCTACAACAAGAATGCGCAACAACTTCAGCTGCAGCAACAAGTTCCAGGTTCCTCTTCTTTTCCCTCATTTTTTATCAATCAATTTACGGCTTTATTTTCCACTGACCATTAAAAATCTGAAAAGTTCTTGAGGGTTTCTAAACAACACATATATTTATGAATTTTATATATCTATAATAAATCAAAATCGAAGTGAGTTTCTTTTTCTTAAAATATTTCTTCTTATAAAGTCATGCAAACACCTTAAAGTTCTCTGCTCGAATTTCAATTTTAATCTTAAAGTCAATTTCAAGAGTGTATCTTTTTCCCCCACATCACACACATTCACATTCACTTTAATCTCTCTCGTATCTTACTCCTTTCATTTTCATCAATTTCACTGACATTTTCCACCTGCCTTTAAAACTCTTTACGTGTAAAATGCTTTCAATTTTCCCTCCCTCTTGAAATTGTGCAATTTAACCAAAACGATATAAAATATGCATAATCTTTTAATTTCATCAAATGGTCCAATTAAACAATTTGCCTACAGAATGTATTTAATCGAGACATTTTCTGAACTTTGAAATTGAAGGGAAATTGAAAGGAAATAAAGCCTTTTTAAAGCTCTTTACAAAGACAGTATTGTAGGTTTTTAATAATGGGAAGAGGCCATAAAGGGCATAGCTTAAGTTTATAGAAAATCAAATAATACTATATAAGTTACTAAATTGACAAGCTCGGAACCCTTTGTTTGTTTAAAGAGCAAAAATCAAACTATTAATAAATTTACACGCTTTTTTAACCGGTTTGCTACAATTTAACTAATTATCAAGTGAGTGGCGTTTAGCTTGGCTAAGCAAAAACAGGCAAACAAAATAGTTACCAAACTTATAATTTGTGATGAGCTAAAATTATTTTCCAATTAAGGGTTTTTGTCAACTATTTAGACTAGGTCCATACTAAACTTGATAAAAAGTGGAAAATTACCCCTAAACTGATGCCACTTAACTACTTAAAAGTTTAAACATGTGATAACAGATTGTTTGAGATTTTCCTTAAAACTTTAATTTGATTAAAAATATTTTTAAGTCGTGTAGTTATTTCTTCGTTTTTCCAATCAGTTTTTTTTTATATTTTATACATAACAACTTTAACCTTTTATATATATATTTAATATTATAAAAAGATATAATTTTTATGCGAAATATAGTAGTACCAAATGCCGTTTGCACAAAAGGCTGTAAATAGTATTTTAAAACGAAAGAAAGAAAACCCACTGGAAATGAAACGAAAATCCTGCGCCGATTCTGTTATTCTTGTTTTGCACTTCTCTGGGCTGGAAAATACATTATCATGAAGGATATATTGCCAACCAGTTTTCGGGTGGAAAATTCCAAAGGGGTGGGAAATTGGGAAGTGTTGGGTCTCTCGCCTGGGCAAGAAAACTGTGCAAAATACAAAAATGAAGAAAAAAGAAAAAAGGACACACATAAAATGTAAACTCTGAACCGAAACGGGGCGTGTAACGAACCTGCGGGGCAAAGTGAAGAGGGCGAGAGGAAGCTATAGTGGGAGAAGAAGGAGGCGGAGAACCAAAAGAGGCGGAGAAATCGTGGGTTGTCGCACACAGGACGAACAGGCCAACAAAACGAACAGGAAACGAGCGTGCAAGGACACACAACTTTGGCGTGTGGGTGGTATGTGTGGCGGTGCACAGAGACGGCGGGTGGGGAGTTGTGCGGGCGGGTAACTGGTGGTGCAAAAATTGGGGGCGTGGCAGGGGTTAGCCGGAGTGAAGTGGCAGTAAAACGAACCGAATGAGAATCGAGAATTGCGAATGGTTGTAGTAGTAGTAGTAGAAGTAGAAGAAGAAGCGGCCGCATCAGCAGAACAGCAAAACTAAAATTGAAAATGGCAACGCCAGGGGGAACACAAAAGAAGAGGAAGGGAAAGGGACAGAAGAAGAGCAGAGCAACTACCAAAAACAACAACAACAGCAAAACCAAATAAAGTCCAGGCTAGCGCAGATGTCGACTGCGACGCTGGCTGCGAAACAGAACTAGTAATAACAACAAATGCAGCAGCAGGAGCAGCAGAAAAGCAGCACCAACTACAACTACAACAAAAACAGCAATGGGAGCAAACAAATGAATTTATGCAGCGAGGCTAGAACAACAAAAACAACAACTACAACAATGACAACCGCAGGCAGTTGTTTCACAGTCGTGACTCACTAAGTTAAACCATTCTATTTATATTTTAATAATTTTTTGTGCCAAAACTCTTGAAATCTATAAGCCTTATGGAAACTGGGAAAAATTACTTGATGATAAGGCCAAATCGTCATATGAATTAATAAAAAAAAAGGTTTGATAGGTTTATAGATCTGAAGCTAAGAAACAATCTAATATAATAACCTGAGAGAGCTAATAGAACACAAAGTTCGTTTTATTGAAATTCTATTGTAGTGGCTTGATTTCGGGATGCCTGATTGATTATCATTTAGGCACGTTAGACTGTAGTTGGTATTTATGTAACGATGTTGGTGTGGTTGATGTTGTAACTGCTGCAGGATTGCAGGAGTACGAGGAATGCATGGGACATGGAAAGTGGGATGCGAGATGCGGTGGAAGAGGTGAAGGGTGAGGTAAGGGAGCAATGGAGCAAGGGAGTGAGAGGTGGCACATTGGACAAGGGACAAAAGCTCCAAGTGGAACGAGAGAGCGCGCACGACCCATAAATTAGAGTGAGAGGGCGCGCGAGTGTGCGAGTGAGAGCTCTTCTAGGAGGTGCAAAAGGACGAGGGGCAACACGAAGGCAACAACATTGACGTATTTGCCATTTGCAACAGCAACAGCAACAACAACAACAAAAACAAGGTGCAAGAGCAATTTCAAGGAGGAGCAAAGAAGAACAGGAGAAGGAAGAGTGCAAAAAGGAGACTCCAGAGCAGAGACAAAAAGAGAGGGAGAGCCATTGTCTCTCTCGCTTTCTCTTACAC